AGAATAACAATAACTCAATCACCTCTTTTTGGCATGCTTTTTTAGAGTAAGCAGCTGGGAAGAGAGCAAAGGAGATGGAGAAAAGAAAATTCAGACTCTACCTCTGGGTGGCACCATAACCAGGTGCTGCCTTTATAGGATTAGACAGCTCCCTGTGAGTCTGGAGAGAATGGATGTGGTCTATGCTGAAAAAAAATTTCCAATGTGACAAAATTGGCACAAGCACACTAAGCTGTGGTGGAAAACCTCAGTAACTGCCCCAAATACATAATACACGAGGAGAGAGGTCCCCAAGCCAAATATAAAAAATTTCCATGTGGGTGACTCCCCCAGCAGGCCCTTTCCTCTCTTGAAGGTGGCTTGCTTCACACACGTCTTCCACCTCCAAACAAACTTCCACATCGCCAAATAAATAATTTTTTWATTTTCTATAAGATTCTTGATTAAAATCTTTCTTTCAAGAAGACAAGAACTGAGAAACCCTTCACCTGATAATTTTCATGTGCCCAGTAGTGTCTAAATGTTTGAACTCAAATTTCACAAACTGTAGTTGAGATTGGATGGGAATTGGTATCGGAACAAAGGGGTCCAACTGGGCACAGTGGTGCAGGCCGGTAACTTGGGAGGCTGAGGCAGGAGGATAAAAATTTTGAGGCCAGCTCAGCAATTTAGCAAGTCCTCTGCAACTTAGTGAGACCCTGTCTCAAAATTTAAAAAAAAAAAATTAAAAATCATGGCTGAAGATGTAGCTCAGTGGTTAAGTGCACCTGAATTCAATCACCAGTACCCCTTCCCCCCCACCCCAAAAAAAATAAACTTAGAGGAGGTCCATGCTGGAGCAATAGAAAGTTTTCTGTTCCAACCATAGGATCCAGGGTTAGGAAGCACTTTTTGAGATTTGACTTCTTTCCTTTATAGGGAAGTTTTAAACTTTATTTTCTCTTTGGTGTTTCAATAACTTTAGTCTATGAAACAATGTGCGAATACAGAGATTAACAGGAAAAAAATAAGGCACATAGTTATAAATGTGATAAAAATTGGCCCATGACAAAAGAATTAATCTCAGTGGTAGAGGAGATAGTTGAAGCTTAAATATTCTCCTCAGGAGGAAAAGAGAATGAGGTAGGCGAGGGGGTGGTAGGCAACTTTAGAGGCACACTAAGCAATTATTAAAGAGACTGGACAGACCTGAGGACAGGAAGTGACTTGTCAATGATTCGTTCTGGAATTTGAATGAGCCTCAGGAACAGACATAACCTTGGGAGAAAGTCCTTCTGAGTGTGAATACACTCCTGCAGAAAGTGAGATATCAGGGTGGGATCCAAGGCAACTCTGGTCAATTTTTGGTTCTGGTCTTAATCCAGAGTAAGGAATTGCAGAGAAGCTCCATCTCTGTTTTGGAGATAGAAGCAAGACAAGGTATGATATAGTTTGATTCTGAGGTCCCATCTGAGCTTCTCAGCATGACAACAGGCTAATCTTTGGTTTGTCAATTCCTCCTCCTCCTCCTCC